ATTCAATATTCTTTGCCAACACCATAATTCAAAGGTATCAATTCTTCTTTGGTCTTCCTTATTCATTGTCCAGCTTTTGCATGCATATGAGGTGACTGAAAGTGCCACGGCTTGGGTTAGGCACACCTGAATCCCCGAAGTCACATCTTCACTTTTGAACACTTTAAAGAGGTCTTTTGCAGCACGTTTGCCCAATGCAATACTTCATTTGATTTCTTGACTGCTGTTCCCATGGGTGTTGATTGTGGATCCAAGTAAAACGAAATCCTTGACAACTTTAATATTTTCTCCATTTATTATAATAATTGGCCTAATATCATGTTTAGTGTATTTGTTCTACCTCTTAGTTTTCTGTGTAGTATCTGGGGGTCTTAAAAGCACACACATGGCCATCCAAGGCACAACAATTGGTTTCTATTCACCTGGAGCAATAGAGGAAGAAGCAGAGTCAGGAATAGAAGGAGGATATTGAGTTTGTGGCTAACGGCCTCCTTGAAAAACTGCCTCCTTTGTCATCAGACCAGAAGAACTGGATGGTACCTGGTACCATAACCGAACATTTTGATCAAAGATTCCATAGAAGAATCCTGATCTAAAGGGGGAAAATGCAGGACAGAATTTCAAATTATCATGGACTCTAGATTTTCTAGAGTCATGGAGCCATGGAGCCCTGAAACTATTGCCCTGAGATAATCTTTAAACCTTAAACCAAAAAATATTCCCTGAAGTTATCTTAAAATCTACCAATACCAAAAAATCCAAACCTGTTGCCATCCAGTCGATTCTGACTCATAGAGACCCTATAAGACAGAGTAGAACTGCCCTATAGGAGCAGCTGGTGGATTTGAACTGCCAGCCTTTTGGTTAGCAGCCAAGCTCTTAACCACTACACCATCAAAGCTCCATATATACATATGTGTGTTTGTGTGTGTGTGTATGTATGTATACATACACACACACACAAACACACACATATATATCTCTGTTAGAAGAGAGAATGAATGACTAAAAAGATAAAGCCAAAATGGAGTGGTTATATCTTAATGGTGGTATTTTAAAAAAATGAATATGAGGTTTTTTTTTTTATAATTAGGAGTAGAATTATTTTCAATTTGGAGAAAAAGATATCATAACATGTAAGGAAATTCAGCAATGTAATGTTTATGTTTATTTTTTTGAGATAGGTAGATAAATTTGGTATATAGGTTAATTAGTAATAAAGGTCTGCATTGAACATTATGCTCTTTTAAGCACTATCTGTATGGAATCAAAGGAACAACAGCAATTCCAAAGACTAGATAGAAACTTTAGAGGCCAGTGAGTTTATGTTAATGAAGGAGAAACAACTCAGAAAAGGAGGATGAGAATGGTTGCAGAACTCAAAGACTGTAATCAATGTCACTAAATCGTATGTGTAGAAACCGTTGAATTGGTGTATGTTTTGCTGTGTATTTTCTCAACAACAACAATAAAATGAAATACTTATTATCTACTAAATTATGGCTTTCAGGGAGATGGCATTAAAATGACTTGGTTGAAAGTAGCTCTTGTTTAAAGAAGCCTGACTTCCTGGTCTCATAAGAGGCAGTTCTGGTTAGAGGTAAAGGGAAGGATGGGAGCTTAGGAAGTCACCTCTTCTTGATGATCTCAGACTCTTATGGGCTATTGTAGCTGAGATGAACGCATGAAATGCCTTGCAACAAAGGTCTCTTCTCAGAGTAAGTACTGTTTGGTGGAAATTTGAATGCCTTTTGAGAGACACAGAGGGCTGAGGTCTCCCCACTGCCGGGAGAACTGTTTGTGAAGGGATTCAACATGGGGAACTCACATTGCTACTTTCTGTGGCAGCATCACTCCCCGACTACATTTAGGAACAAGTAGAAATTACCACTGAGAAAACAACGTTCCTGAGGTTAATGGGGATCATGTTAAGGGAAGTTCTCAGAAAATCACACTTACCCAACTTCCCCAGAGCTGGTGCATTCAAAGAGAGGGCAGTGAGGACATGTGGAAAATCCAATTGTCAAGCACTGGAGATAAGGCCACACTCATGAGTGTGTTGTAACAGTGTTTCAGAGTGTATTTCGGTTTGAGCATGGCTGGCATTGCTGAACATGCCTGGTGTGTTTGTATGTCTTGGGTGCTAGTGAAAGCGGGCGTATACATTTGTGCACATACTTCTGTGAGTTCCTGTCAGGGTTTGTGTGTATGTGAGAGTGGTTTTGTCTGTGTGAACATATCTGCATGGAAGGGAATGTGATTATATTGCATGGGGAATATGTGCATTTGATGTAGATGTTTACTGCTGTTTGATATAAGTTCTGTACGTTTATTTGTCTTTGCACATGATTGCATATATATAAATGTTTGAGTTAGTTTCTGATTTGCTAGAGGCTGTGCGTTTGTGTAAGTCCATGCTACATGTGAGTGTGCTTGTGCTTATGTTTGAGTACGCATTCTGCATATGAATGTTAGTTCAAGCAAATACACAAGGCTCCAGGGGTGAAAATCAAAATACAACTGGAGTGTTTCCTTTATACAAGGCTGACACTGACCCCTTCCCATCTGTCCCGTCTCCCAGATGGAGAATTCTGAAAATTGCAGGTGAGGTGGGCAAGAAGGAGAAGAAATAATCTGGACAGACGCAGAAAGAGAAGAAAGAGGAAAGTCAGGTCTAGGATGGGCTCCTTGCAGCTGTTTAAATCCTCTGGATGAAAGAGAGATGAAGCATGGAGTAGAGATAAATTAATATTAATTATAATGCTGTAAATTTATGTCATACCCTACAACTTGTAACACAATCATACAGTTATAATCACTTTTAAATCTCTCATTAGCCAGGTGAGGTAGGCAGATCAAGGATCATTATCCCCATTTTACTGATATGAAACCTGAGGTTCAGCGAAGTAAATTTATTGTCAATAGGCCACTGAGTGAGCAAGTGACAGGGGCTGAACCTGGGCCTCTGGCCCACTCAGCACAGCTTACTTTCCACTACACCCTGTGGCTTCATACTTTAAGTTGGCAAAAGGAGAAGTGAAACCCCTGTAGTTTCACCCATAGAACCCTGAGAAACCATCCCTGTGGTTGACACCAGTGGAGGGTTTTTCACTAAAGCCGTGACTCATTAGGCAAATACATATCCATATATATTATATATACATATCAAATAATTTATGACACAACTCTTTCCACATAAGACTTGAAGGAGCTTCAAATAAAGTATACATGGGTAATAACAAGTTGCCATTGAGTCAACTACAACTTAAGGTGACCCCATGTGTGTCAGAGTAGAACTGTGCTCCATAGGGTTTGCAGTGGCTGATTTTTTTGAAAGTAGATCACTAGGGCTTTCTTCCAAGCTACCTCTGGGTGGACTCAAACCTCCAATATTTCAGTTAGCAGCTGAGTGCATTAACCGGTTGCACCACCCAGGGACTCCACATGGATAATAGAGTCAATCAATCAGAAGGAGAAAATCTGGACAAAGAAAAAAAAGAGGGAGAAAAGGTACTAAGAATAAGCTTCAGCACTGTTTTTCTAGTGTTAAACTCCAGAGAGACCCCCCTGGTGCTTTGGATCATGTGACTTTTGGAGAAAGCTCAAACTCAAATTCACTACTTACCAGTTAGCTGTGAGACTTGGGCTTCACTTCTCTGAAAGTCTAGTTATAACTCAAAGGAAAATTGAGGATAAGAATATTATTTTGTAAGGTTGATTCAAGGATTGAAAATCATGTATGTTCAGCACAAGGAACACAGTTCTCTTATGGGTGAGTGCTGCTCTGGAGCTTTATAAAAGGGGCACAGGGAAAAGCATTGGCAATTACCATTAGCAATTGCTGTGCTTCTCCAGGCTGTGAGATCACAGGAGTGACTTAACTGTAACTAGGCAGTTTCATTTTGACTCAGCCTCCACCCATGGGATTGTCAGAAGCCCAGCTTCCTTCTGGACTCTGTGACCTTCTGAAAATCACCGGCAGGTTTCTAGAGGGTTTTCATGGACTCACAAGAGTCCCCACTGGATTGATTTTTGAGCTCTGTGAAGGCAGAGAGCATGTGTGTTCACACTCCTGCTTCTCCATCCCTGAGCACGATGCCTGGAGCATAATAAACAGGCAACATTTATTTATTTGAAGAACTGATGAATAAGCAAAGCTTCATTTCCACAGATGATGTTTTCGGTGCCTCCCAGTCAAGGCTGCAAAGTCCCAGACCACAGTTCTCTGTTGCCCACATAGCTCCAGACTTCCATGGTTGTCTTCTATTCCTGTTCTTGTGGACTACTTCTTCCACTCTGCTCCTTTAACCCCAAATATTCCAAACATTACTTTGTGGAAGGGGAGAGAAGAATACCCTTGTAGTATATATCTTTAATGACTATCTCTAGGTCTTATTTTGCTTTATGCATGTTATCTGTTCATTTGTAATGGAGCAGACTCTTGGTGGAGTGATCGATCACTTGAGATCTGGTTCAGGCTCTCGATTTACTTCTTGGGTGATTTTGGGCAAGTCATTCAAGTCCCTT